ACGGCCTCGTGGCTCCACACGAAGCCAGAATCAGGCCCTTTCCGCAAGTAAAGCGCACAGAGAATAGAAGAGGAAAGAAAATAACCCACGAGCTGGTTTCAAACCGGAAGACATTGATGTACCTATGGCTAAAGCGTAACTTATGAACTGATGACACAAGAGTGCTTAAGGCTGAAGAAGGTAGACTTGTTGAGGAAACTACTGAAGCTTACCATGCACGATGTAGTGAGATACTCGTCAGGCAAATGACCTAGTAGTGCTTCGGCGAGCAATGGATCCATATTTGAACCATTGACAGTACAAATTAGCACCCAGTCATTGGTTGGAGCAGGCCTGGCAGGTAACTTATGAAGAACACTCAGAGCTTGATCGTGTGAGCTCACCCAGGTTCACGATTGACAAGTCTAGGCAATCGGTGTGTTTCAGATGATGATGACCCAACTTAGCCACCCAAATTAGAACTCCCTGAGATCCTTTGGTGGAAATAGCCAGCAAGAGGCCAATCAAATGGAGTATGTGATGCTTGGCAACGACATGTCCGATGACACATTCGCCTGGATCTCAGTGGTTACTGACTCCACTTCCAAGCGGAAGCTTTAGTCCCGCGGGTTCTTAGTCCCGCGGATTATCATACCACAAATAACGATTCCAAGAATGAGCGCAGTAGAGGTGGCTCTCACCTTTATGGCTTAAGTGTAAGTTGCATCCCGGCTGGAAGACCAGTTTAGGTTGGTCAACGCCCCTTATGAGTACGATGTGACTTTGTCTTAACAACTTTGAGGTAGGATAAGTTGAAGAAGCTTCGTCAAAGGGTTTCCTGGGCGCTTCACGCAGACAGCAGGACAGGGATGAATTCTTAGTGCCCCACTTGTAAGGGTTCAGGGCCTCGAACATCCGGAATGGGATTCGGCACTCTTGGCTTGAACAGCCACGGGTATCGACGTGCGATAAGTACCGAGCCAAGTCCCGTATGGGAGTCACCGGAGCGCGCATTGCACCATTGACAAACACTGGCTGTTTCGAGCAAAGCAAAAGTGGAATAAGTATCTGTACCGCTATCTCCTGGTTCTAGGATCGGTCGGATCTGATTGGACGGCTGGGCTTCTGCCTGTTTACCTTCAATTTATGCCGCCAACTGCACGCAAGTACGGCATCACTCAGACGAGGAGATACAGCTGCCACAGGCCCGACTGGGTGGCGAATGGCGAGGATGGGGATGGAACAGTCAACAACAGGTTGACCTGACTGTCTAGAAGAATGTGGAAGCTATTCAACTACAGGACTCGTGAACAGAAGACAGTTGCGCTTACATAGAGCCTCAAAGCACACTATGGGTTCAATATCGTATTGAGCTCTAGCATACCAGGGATATGGCATGGCCAGGAAGGTACAACCGACATTTAGCCAGGTATATGGAAGTGGACTGGATGCTGTCCATGATAATGGTGCGACATATTGTTTCGGAGAAGCCCGCCACAGCGCCGTGATGAGGAAATGAAGGACTGGGACAGCAGGAACTCAAGCTGTGGATATTCGAAGGCAGAGATAAGCTGCGGCGTGCTTGGCACATTCATATATAACCCTCAATATTCTCTTCTTCTACCAGAGGAACTATACAAGATATCACTCCTTTCTTTGACTTCTCATTATCGAGCTGGATTCAATCTGACCAGGTGTCAGGCTCTCGTCACTCTTTCACTTCAATTCATTATACTTTCATACTCTTTCTTTCGTTTCTAAATTAGTCTCGATTCTCAGCCAGACACAATGAAGTATCTTCCTCTGGCCGTTGCAGTCACTGCCAGCCTGGCACCTACGGCTTCCGCTCATTATATCTTCAGCAAGCTCGTGTTGAACGGAGAGGCTTCTGCGGACTGGCAGTACATTCGTGAGACCACTCGCAGCATCTGCTACGAGCCTACCAAGTTCACCAACACTTTTGACAATTTGACACCCAACGACAACGATTTTCGTTGCAACCTGGGCTCGTTCAGCAATGCCGCAAAGACCGACGTCGCCGAGGTAGCGGCGGGCGATACCATCGGGATGAAGCTCTTCTACGACACCAGTATTGCGCACCCTGGCCCGGGCCAAGTTTGTACGAGTCATCCCTCTCCCTGGCATAGTCACTCACCTTCTAATGACCTGGTTTCCTCGAATTACAGTTATGTCCAAGGCACCCACCGGCAATGTCCAGGAATACGAAGGCGACGGCGAATGGTTCAAGATCTGGGAAAGAACACTCTGCAACGAGGAAGGCGACTTGACCAAGGACGCCTGGTGCACCTGGGGCATGTCCGAGTTCGAGTTCCAGATTCCTGCTGAGACCCCAGCAGGCGAGTACCTGGTGCGCGCCGAGCATGTGGGCTTGCATGGGGCTCAGGCAAACGAGGCTGAATTTTTCTACAGGTGAGGCAATCACGCTCAGATTTATGACATTCAAGGAGCAATGATGCTGACACCGCCAATTTAGCTGTGCACAGGTAAAGGTCACAGGCTCGGGAACTGGATCTCCCAGTCTCACATACCAGATTCCCGGTCTCTACAACGACAGCATGACCCTGTTCAACGGCCTCAATCTTTGGGTCGACTCGGCCGAGAAGATTCAGATGGATATACTGGAAACGCCGATTGGGGATGACGTGTGGAACGGAAGTGGTTCGGGAAGCTCATCCGCTGCCTCCCCTTCAGTCAGTAGTGCAGCTGTCGCAAGCCCGGGTACAACTACCGCTGCCGTGCATGCCTACGTTCAGACCCCCGCCAGCAGCAGCAGCAGCAGCAGCAACATTCAATCCACGGCCGCTAGCTCAGGCAATCTTGTCTCGCACTGGGGCCAATGCGGAGGCCTTGGTTATGCTGGCCCAACCCAGTGTGAGTCGCCTTGCACCTGTGTGGAGCAGAACCCTTGGTACCATCAATGTGTGACTTCGGCTTGAGATATATGCTGTTATATTCGTGGAGGACTGGTGGGAGATGGGGTGGAGTATAGGGGAGGGTGTGGCCAGACTCAAATGGGGTTACGATCTGTGTTCTATATCAGGAGGTACCACAAGGGTTTGACGATCCCCCCAATGTTGAGCAGCTCGTTTCTTTGACCTAAAGTCTTGTCAGGTACCTAGAGTTATATAGACTGGAAAGTACAACTGGCATTAGCGGCCAAGCTGCGGCGCGAAATTTGGCCTGGGGTGGCAGATAACGTGATTTTTCACCGCAGAAATTCTGTTCGGTAGTACATTTTGACTTTCAGTTCGTTAAAATAATCGCAACGTAAGATCTATCTAGACTCAGCTGGCGGATTGCCTCGGTCCCGATGATAAAGTTGGGCAATACGATAAGTGAACAGTATCTCTGTTTATATTCCTCTGTATTAAATTGCCGATGGTTTCGAGCGACTGGCAATTCTAGCGGACGGGTTTATCCGCAAACCACCTGTGACCAGGTGCACTGTCATTGTCATCCTGGAGCTGCTACGGATCTGTGAGATATGGCCTTTTATCTAGGTAACCTCGATCTATAAACACAGGCAATACTTCCCTGCTGAAGCCATCTCAAAGGGTTACTATAGCCGTGGAAGCTAATGTCGAGTCCCGAATAAGCTAATTCTGAAAGCCAAGGGTCTTTGAGTACGCCCATTCATCAGTATCTGGACCCCTTCTGGTCACATGTTCTCCGCATCTTACCTAGTGTCAGTGGTGATTGCATATGTAGTCTTCTTCTAGATAGTCACGGCTAAAGTAGCTAGAATATCGGTCTTATAATAGATTTGGTAAACTTCAGAATACTTGAGATAGTGGCAACGATGTAGGTGAAAAGTCCTACAAAAAGACAGGATCAACATAGTTGGGTATAGTAAGCAACAAGCCCTAGTCTTTCTTAATATACTTACTAGTAAATACGATATTTCAAGTCTCATCTCAAGTAAGATCGCAACAAACATTCCACCACAGCAAAGTCTTGTCTATTCTACCTCATTAAATCAAAGGATTATCATCTCAATAGTAGAATAAATTTCCTGCTTATATTTCGCACTCTAGTGTTGCTGTAGCCAGTGAGGATACTAGTTCTACTGCTGCTATAGGCTACGCCTTATCCGTACGTCAAAATTGGGTGGAAAGAAGATTATGCTTGTCAGGATCTACTCCTGCATCTTCCGGATCTAAAATCGCTAGGTCTCCCAGTAGAAGACTAGAACTCTGAACCCAACCACCCAGAACGCGTATCCCTTACAAGCTTAGACGGATTCCCACAATGCCGTGTGGCCGATACATAGCGTCCCACTACCACCACATGCTGACTACCATCAGTTAAGCTAGGCAACATGAAAGTCCTATGGTCCGTTGCGGCCATAAATTACCTACCTCCCTTTTCCATTGATTGCTTCTTGATTATGGTGTGTTCTACACATATTGTAGTTCACACGCACTCTGTCAAGCAATACACTGGCACCCGGACTGAGAGGGACAGAGTGTTGGATAGCCGGGTTTTGCTTCAATTTTATGGGCCCAGACATCTAGGATTCATGTATATCCACTCATCTAATCGGGATCCCCGTTGGTTGCTCAATGAGGCAGACGGCTTCCGCCGTTTGCATTAGGATTGCCATGGTTGGCATATGAAAACCAGACCTGAAGAGTGTACGTAATCTCTTGCCGTAGTGTGGGTCCCCATCAATAGTACGGGGGGAAAGATATGAGAAGACAAGATGATCAGCCTTGGAACGAAGCCATATCATCTTACGTTGTGTTTCACGTCCAGTACACCATTAGTTTGCCCACAAATTTGAGCGGGTGTGAACTTTGCCGTAGGCACGTGCGGATGAAATGATCTTGCGTTGTCTAACTCTTACGCACTCGGCATGTTAAAGGAACCCCTGAGTTGCGATTAAGCTCGTAGAACTACTATATAAGAGCCCCGTCCTTATCAGGGTTGCTGCTGTTTGTACGCACACATGATATCCCTCCATTATACGTACACCTCATCACTATAGCATGACACTAAAAATGCTTAATGCTCTTGTCCCTTGGTCATTGCTGATTGCCAATGTTGGATTGGTTACAGCAGCTGTGGGGCCAATTGCCAATACCACCTATGGACAAGTCATGGGCGTCCATTCTCCTTATCACAACAATGTCGATGTCTTCAAAGGCATCCCCTATGCTAGTCCTCCGGTGGGCTCCAAGCGGTTCAAGCCCCCTCAGCAGCCCGACGCTTGGGATGGTGTCCGGAACGCGACAACCTTTGGCCCTCAATGCGTGCAAGTCAGTTCGTCCGCCTCAATATTCACCACCGGCTCTTCTATAATGAGCGAGGATTGTCTGTCGATCAACATATGGACACCCTCAAACGCGACTGTCGATTCCAAGCTACCTGTGTACTTTTGGATCTATGGTGGACGGTATTTCGAAGGTTCTGGAGATGTTCCCACGTATGATGGATCTATCATGGCATCAAAAGATATCGTTGTGGTGACCTTCAACTACCGTCTGGGTATCTTGGGGTACTTCGCGCACCCTGAACTATCTGCCGAATCTCCGTATAACAGCTCCGGGAATTACGGCATGCTTGACATGGTCGCCGCATTAGAGTGGACCCACAACAACATTGGACAATTTGGAGGTGATCCCGACCACATCACTGTGGGTGGTCAGTCTGCGGGATCCTGTGGTGCCCTGGACATGATGCTGAGCCCGTTGACCGACGGGTTGGGCGTAGTTGGTGTGATCTCTGAGACAGGCGCCCGCGGCACCCACGATCCTTCCATGGCTGGCTCGTCGACTAGCTACCGCCAAAAGGCTGAGGCTGAAGCCTATGGTGTGACCTTTCTTCAGGAGGAGCTAAACCTTACTACTGTGGATGAGCTACGTCAAGTCCCATATGAAGTCCTAGTCGAATACTTTCCACTTAATGGCGACTACTATGAGAGCACTCCACTGGTTAACATCAGCGCGTTCATGGAGCCACCAGTTTGGCGGCCCGTCCTGGATGGTTACGCCATGCCCTACAGCTATTCCGAGATGTTGAAGCGTATGGCCCACAAGGATGTTCCCATCCTCACCGGGAACAATGCGGACGAATCCGGTGCCCAGGTCAGCCAGGACTACACCGTTGCGACCTACTACTCCACCTTTGCCGAGATGTACGGCAACATGTCCAGCGAATTCTTCCGCCTGTTCCCCGCATCAGGCAGTGTCTCTAATGTCACCGAGGCAGTGAACGCCATGTATCGGTCCCTCAGCCGTGTGGGAACCTGGACATGGGCCCTTGATTGGTATCACGGGGGCGCCCAGAGCAATGTCTACACTTACTACTGGACCCATGCGCCCCCAATCGGCGGTTCCGGAGCTTATCATGGCTCTGAGCTGTACTATGCATTTGGCGTGATTCCCTATGTCAATACCAGCGCCGCATGGACTACCGAGGACTATGCCGTTCAGAAGAAGATGTCCGCCTACTGGGCTAACTTCATCAAGACCGGTGATCCCAACGGGGAGAATCTCCCTCACTGGGCGCCCAGTGGCAACTCAACTCAGACGATGTGGCTGGGAGATTCCTGGGGCAGCGGCGACATTGCCCCGACTCAGGAACAAGTTCAATTTATCTTGGATTATTACAAGACATTGCCTGCCTGGTGATGAGAACTGAAAGTCTGGTGTATATCGTTGTCTCCAATTTGGGCGCCAGTGGCGCAATTATGATGTATACTAGCATCCGAATGTCATATAGAACTAGTTGCGATAGTATTGAAACAAGCTTCCAGTCTATCAGTGAGGACCACAATTGATCATTGGTAGCTACCCGCAGCTGTCTAAGCCCTCCCATATACTTCCTGCAACAGCTTAAAGCCATTCCCGTTGATTTTAAAGACTTACTTCCTAGACGAACTTGACGAAACACCAATTGTGATGTGCTGTCCCGATTGTGCTGTTCCGATCATAGTTTCATAGATGTTCACTGTAGCCAAAAACCCCCCCCGATCCTTCGCTACCTCTGCCTGCGTGGTCTCTGACCATCACCACAACCACCATCAGAAACACCATTATGAGATCTAGATAGCTCATACACATACAATTGAATCACTCCATTCCCGTTGACTTGAGATGACATATTATGATCGACCTGACGATTCCACATGACAGTAAACTTTCTCCTTCCTGCAAGCCGAACTTTCGCAACCCGCTTTCAGCTAGTCTCCTTTCTCTGGATTCTAGATAACAGGAAAGAGCTACGACCCCCCAGGACATACAGAAGCAGACATTCACTAGGAACCCTCGCCAAACACCTTCTATCCCCATGTCTGGAATCGAGGATATTTGGCAGGCATCACCGGCGCAGCAGCCAGCAGCATGGGAGCCTTCCGGGGCTTTGACGCCGCAATTGTCAACGCATGTAACATTATTCCACCCGAGATCCATTCGGTTAATTTTAAAGTTCAGACCCTCCATCATACGTAACGGCAACTCAATTTTCAGTACGCATCTTGCGACCCATAACACCACGTATGTGCTGTGGGGTAGGGTCGGCTTTCTCCCCGACGTACGCCTTGCGGGTAACGGGAGGACCTGCAGTAATACCGCGGTCACAGCAAACATTATCGACTCTCTGTTTTTGTAGATATGGGAATGTCGATCTTCATTTCTACCTTCGCAGCTCATCTATGAGACGAACGCAGTGGGTGAGCCATAGGTCGGATTCCCCGATTGATGGACCACATTTGTATACGGCATATACGCATACACGATAGCAGAAAATAAGCTAGTAGTGATGAACGGCACATCAGGGCAATAGATAGTGGGCCACGTAAGCCCTGCTGGATCGGAGATCAGGCTAGAAATTGTCCTCCGACGTCCGATGCAGGTTCCACTTGTTACGTTTACCCTGTCTGTCCCCACTTATTAACGATCAATGGTTTGGGTTCAGGGCCTAGATGCTTTGTACTATTCCCTGTGTGCTGACTTTAACCGGGCGTGTCACTTTACCCGGGACTAGAATCCAAACAAATAAGCTCAAAAAGTGCTATCCGGATTTAGAAAATGGACGCAGGTACCGCCACTTCGGCGAACGTCCGTTCACCGTCACTTTCATTCGTACAGCTGTAATTTTCAACATATGGTTGTTATTCTTTTTTCTTTTTTTTTTCTTTTCTTGATTTTTTCACAATCCATCATGTGTAATCACATGTATTTTATTGTATTAGATAGTTGATTTATTTTATCCTTTTTTATCAATCATGTTTGGTCATTTATTAAACTTTTTATTTTATGTTATTTACTTTTGTTTTTGTTATTACTCTTAATTCATCTTTTTGTTATGCCTTTTTTACCCTCTACCTTTTGTGTTCCAGAATTAAGTGGGAAGTGGACTGAGTGAAAATAGAACGTAACGAATACGTGGAACAGGGATCTCCAGAAGGTGAGACACCTGCGGAAAAGGCCTCCTGGACGCTAGATGACCATGGATATGAACAAGCCCCTGGACGCGCGTAACATCCAAAGCACGACTATCATGCCAGAGATAGAGTGACTATCTGAGGGCAGGAGCAATGCGTCCGAAGACTCTCTGCTCCTGGTCAAGCTCATGGAACTCGGACCCGTTGAGGACGATGATGGATGAGGAGCAGCTTGGCCGACGAAGATCCACCTCCCGAAGTATTTAAGATGCCCATCGTCAACCAGAGATTCGGTCCAAACTCAATCAACCTCATCGTGCGCAAATTGTTTTCGGATCCTGAACGATAACATGCAGCGCTCCATTGCCATTCTTTCCTGGGCGGCTGCTGCCTATGCCACATCCCTGAGCAGCACCTGTACTGTTTCCCATATAAAATCGTCATTGCCGGAGGATGGATATATCCTCGGTGTCACTTTTGACCACTCCTCTGTCACCGCGAATGCCGTCTACAACACCTCCTACTCCAACTATTTCTTCCCGGACGCCACCATCGACTACTGCAACGTGACATTCTCCTATAGCCATGCAGGCTCGGACGATACTGTGATCCTGGGTTACTACATGCCCGCCCCTGAAAGCTACAAGAACCGCTTTCTAGCCACTGGAGGCGGGGCGTATGCTATCCAATCGGGCAGCCAGTCCGCGCCCGGTGGTGTCATGTACGGGGCAGCTTCTGGTTTCACCGATGGTGGTTTCGGGTCTATGGACACTGACTTCGATGACATCTTCCTGCTCGGCAACGGCACTATCAACTGGCCGTTGGTCTATATGTTTGGCTACCAGGCCATTGAGGAGATGACTATTATTGGAAAGCAGTTCACTAAGAACTTCTATGGCACCACGAACAGCAGCCGGCTGTACACCTACTATCAGGGATGCTCGGAAGGTGGCCGCGAGGGCTGGTCTCAGGCCCAGCGCGCAGGCAGTGAATATGATGGCCTGATCATCGGTGCCCCAGCAATCCGTTACGGGCAGCAACAGGCAAACCACCTGTATTCGAATGTCGTGGAGAAAACCTTGGACTACTACCCACCAACCTGTGAGCTTGAGAAGATTGTGAATGAGACGATCGCTGCCTGTGATCCCCTGGATGGACGCACTGATGGTGTTGTATCCCGTTCCGATTTGTGTCAGCTGCACTTCAATATGTCCTCGATCATCGGCAAGCCTTACTACTGTGCCGCCTCCACCAGTTCTAGTCTCGGCCTGGGTTTCGGAAAACGTGATAGCACGGAGCCTGCTCAAAACGGCACGGTCACCGCCGAGGCTGTCGCTGTTGCCCAGACAATTGTCGACGGGCTCCACGATTCGGAGGGTCGCCAGGTGTACATTTCCTACCAGATGGGTGCTTCCTTTGAAGATGCCCAAACGACCTACAACTCAGATACTGGCGAATGGGAATTGGTAAGTCTTTTTCAGTGCCTTTTAGATCAAAACCCCAAAGCAAGCAGAAAGCTGACTTCGCACCCACTCTATAGAGCATTGCTGGCGCTGGTGGCGAATGGGTCGCCCGCTTCCTCGAATTGCAAGATGCAGACAATCTCTCTAGCCTGGAAGGCGTGACCTACGATACCCTCAAGGGCTGGATGATCCAAGGCATGGAGAGGTACATGGATTCCCTGCAGACGAACCTGCCCGATTTGACCACATTCTATGAGAACGGGGGCAAGATTATCCACTTTCACGGTGAACAGGATGAGTCCATCCCCACTGGCTCCTCCGTTCATTACTACAACTCTGTGCGGCAAACGATGTATCCTGGAAAGTCCTACAACGAAAGCACCGATGCGCTTAAGGAGTGGTACCGCCTGTACTTGGTCCCGGGCGCTGCTCATTGTGCTACTAACGACCTCCAGCCCAATGGACCGTTCCCGCAAACCAACTTCGCGGTCATGGCTAATTGGGTGGAAAAGGGCATCGTCCCGGAAACTCTGAATGCAACCATCTTGCAGGGAGAGTATGAGGGAAAGAATGAGCAGATCTGTGCCTGGCCTCTTCGTCCCTTGTGGACTGAGAACAGCACTTTGAACTGCGTGTATGATCAGGCATCCATTGACACTTTTGATTACACCTTCGATGCTTACAAGCTGCCCCTCTATTAACCACGACGGAAGTGGATTCTGTATTCTTCTATTTGGGTAATATTGTGCCAGAAATTACATACCTGGTTCTAACAATTGCCCATAATTCAATTTCTTGCTGCTGATATCTGGCATAGCGGAAGTGAAACAGAAGATGACGGAAGAGTTGGCAAGTACCCTTTTTTTCTTCGGGACACCTATAATGTCTCGTGTAATTTCCAATAGAATGGAATTTTTGTATTGTCCGAATTTTTCTATTGTCCGTGAGGCACTCGATATGCTGCTGTCCACAATTAACAGTGTAGTCATTTACTTTATAGTTGCTAGAACTAATGCTAGTTAAAGCCAAAACTCCGTGTCGGTCTATCTACGTAACTCTATCAACTTATTCCAGGGCTGAAAGATGCGCTCGTTGCATGACCTCCACTAGAATGGGAACTTCTTTTTTCCCCCTTTTAGTCCTTTTATTCAGGTTATGGCTCACTAATCTACAAACATCATGCCGGGGACATGACCATTTCTATGCCGTGAGAGACTATTACCGACATATATCAATCCTTCCGCAACGTCCTCCTCTAACCTTACATTATGTGGCCCTTCCAAAAAGCCCCTGTTAGGTTGACAGTGTAGCTGCAATAATACGATTGCTTAATCCCCCTTAAATAATCGCGACCGACAGAAAGAAGTACATAACGTTTCCATACGCCACACTCAGAAAACCCCTTCTTCGCCCCAAAGCCATCAGAGTATGACAGTGACTTGGGACTGATTATACTAGCAATCTCGCCAATATTTGGCAGAGCAACCGTGTTTATCCTTGATCTCGTTGCCAACATGAATAGTATACATTGACTACTTTAATCATGTCCTGATGACAAGGAGGACGTTTCTCATGCATATGAATAAATATATATGTGAAGAGAAAAACCAGCTAAATACGAATGGAATAGTACGTAAAATTGTGTCGAATGAACACTTCTTCCATCATTTGACTGAGACACATATGAGAAACATATTTTCAGGTCCTGTTATGGTATTCTAATCCATAATTCCCCCAAGGGAGCAAAATCATCTCTCTAGGAAACAATCAAAATAACTCACTCTCTACACCAGACCTCGGCCCTTAGAGACAAATGCTCAGATCATAGCGCTCACCAGGGCTGCTGACCATGGAAGAAGTCCGTAATAAGGCTGACCTGGGCAGGGCTGGCGATGGGGCAGACTCCCTGTCTATAGCCAAGATGCATGGTATCATTCTCGTGCTGGTTAGCGGGCCAATGCACCAATTCGCCCGGGCCAGTCCACGAAGACCCATTGTTGGGGTTTCCGGTCTTGACAAAATTGGCCCAGTAGCTGGACATGATATCGGCGATCAACCAATCTGCCTTAGTCCATGGGAGGTCGGTACCGTAGAGGTTGTTGAAGACATAGTTGATCTCGGACATGTGGTATGCGCCCTGCGACTGACCCGGAGGAGCATGGTCCCAGTAGTAGGTGTAGAACGGGGAATCATACGCCTTGGCCCACTCGTTGGCAAACAAGTAAGAGGACACCCGAGAGGTATCGCGGGCAGCTGCATTCCAGGCCATGTCGGCTTGCGTGGCGTTGCTGGCGGGATAGAGCTCGAAGAACCGAGATGATAGGTTCGCGTACTTGAAAGAAGAATAGTAGTTGTACTCGGCAAGGGTGTAGTCAGTGGTCGTTGAGGCACCCGACTCGTCCTTGTTGTTGCCAGTGATGAAGGGCACGTCATTGGCAGCACCGGATTTCAGAAGCTCCAGGTAAGTGGCCGGGAAAGCCCAACCATCTAGGGTGGGACGGAATTTCGGCGGTGAGCCAGTGTCGAGGGTGGTAATCCAGTTGATAGTTTCGAAATCGCGGGGGTCCAGGAGCTCTTCCATGGGAAGCTTTCTGAGCTCAGCGATAGTGGTGACGTTGTGGCTGAGGGTGTAATTGATCCCGATATCGAGCGCGTCGTCCATCGTGCGGTATGAAGTAGCAAGGCCGGCAATCAGACTGTCGTAAGGATAGCGGACACCACTCTCGGCGATAGCACCATGGATAAGCCCCTTCGTCAATGGACTATTGACTAGATGGTACACACCAGCCGAGCCCCCGCTCTGGCCCGCAACGGTGATACGCTTGGGGTCGCCACCGAAGTTGGCGATGTTTCGGTGCACCCATTTCAGGGCCTGGATCTGGTCAAGGAGGCCGTAGTTGCCGGAGACACCCTCCGGCGACTCTTCAGCCAACTCGGGATGAGCAAGCCAGGCAAAAGCGCCGGCGCGGTAGTTGATGGTGACAACCACCACGTCCTTCTGGGCAAGGCCACCGCCGTCGAAAAGGGGCTGAGCCGAAGTACATTCGCCACCATAAATCCACATAAACACAGGAAGGCCAGCATCAGTGGAGTTGGCGTTTGTCCAGATGTTAACACTTAGACAGTCCTCGTCAACGGTGTACGTCTGCTGGCTATCGGGGCACGCATATCCGAAATCTTTAGCGTCAAGGGTTCCGTTCCATCTTGGACGGGGTTGAGGGGGTCGAAAGCGGTTTTCGCCGCCGGTGTCAGCTGCATAAGGAACACCTTTCCAAGCAGTCACAGCAATATCGGTAGTGTTGAAGGCTGGGAATCCACGAACTGCACCGTACTCGGTGGGGATATCGGTGTTCCACAAGGCGGCAGCCCCCAATTGGGCACCAGCCACAAGGCTAAGCAGCATATACTGCTTGTCCTTAGAGGATAACATTCTCACCGTGCCACAGTGTAAGAATAGAATTGAAGGGCTATCTCGTGGAGAATAAGAAAATAAAGAGAAAGGTTGCAAAATAAAGATGGAACAGAGTTCGGAGGACGCCTCGGAGAGTTCGCTTATGATTATTTATATTTACCCAGCCAGTCCTTAATCCTATCAGCAAGACTCGCAAAAGTTTGACTACGGGAACTAGAAGTTCAGGATGCAGATCACTAATCCACTCACTTAGTACCATGAGGGATACGCGGCAACGGCTAGTGATGCCCTACCCTGTGGGTAGCCGCCGCCCCGGGCTGTGCCTTGTCGTCCCGTTCCATACCGCAAAAGTAAGACGTCGTAGTGCCCGCCACGCAATGTGCTCAGAAGACAAGAGAACCCTGTATTTTACGATTGAGACAACAAACAAGCTTCATGTTCAGCCGGACCCTTCTGCAACACTACCGCTAGTCTAAACAGTAATGTTGCTGTCGACCCCGTCCAGGTCTCTAAGTGGTGAGTGTGGTTGACATTGATAATGCATGGAAGGTGCTTGGAGTTTTCTTCTCAACACAGTGCCTGTTTACTGCTGTACAGAATACCAGTGCTGCACAGGCGGCATTTTCCAGTATTCTCTGCGCCCGAGCCTTGAGAGTATTACAGTCTCATTCTGTTACATGTTTTAATATAGCGTATCATATCCGATTCCATCCCCCATGATAAGACTTCCTACAATGGCAATGATAATGCACCAATAAGAAGAGCCCATCATATTGCTGCCCTTAGCAGAGGTTTAGGCAACAGTATGAATATCACAACCATTCAGCACCGAACGTCCGATGATGCGGAAGTCTGACGCGTATTCTGTAGTCTCTAGCTCGAGCCATCGTTCGTGCAACCTCCACAAACAGTCAGAATCCCGTGTCAGCCGCGACACATTGGGTTTTTCAAATTGGCAAAGATATGTTGAGTCTACATCTTCAGGCTGTGGAGTATGTAACGTAACGTCAAGCAGGGTTTCTTGTAACCAAACGCGGCTCGACGTTCCATGGTACAATGAGCAGAATAGCCCCTGTGTCGCGCACCCCTAGCGGATGAATGTCTTGCCGCGCCTCCACCAGAACCTGATGAAATAGTGGTTCGGACGTCAACTTACCACCCGATGTCCGGCACTGATGACAAGCGAGCGGGTACATGCATTCCAGGTACTGATGAAGTTTATCCCCCCTTCCCTGGCGTCGGCAAGGGTGACGTATATTATGCAACTTAGATTACGAAGAGGATTAGCAATTAACTATACTCCATAGTCTGCTTCTCATTACGTTTGGGGCCAAAACAGGACGTTTTATCCTGCTAATCACTTCGTAGTTGACTAGATCAATACATGCTTCAGTGACCAAGTCAGATTTTATTCTTAGCCCTCGACAAATGAGCACAATTCTGTCTCCCATTATTATGGGAACTAACAGCCACTATGCCGGTGAAGGTCGAGCGGGAATAACCTTCACCTATCTTGTCGGCGCAGGTTCATGTTCTTTTCGGCAACACATGATTAAAGCGGCAGTGATATTTACTACCTTGGAAGCCCAGGTATATGTGCAACGTAATTGGAACAGCACAATATCTAAGTGTTCATACTGAAATGCAGGTTCGGCGTAAGACATGAAACTGCTACCTTAGATAGCCTTGCGGATCGCGTAAGAATATTTACATTCTTTTGTGAGTAGCAAATATGTCTTCACGTTGTACTGAGTGAAATAGAACTACATACAGTGCAATAAAATAAGTAAAATGATGAAATACTAGATGGAATAATATAGGCAACCTCGACACCGCCACCTGGCCAAGACTTGAAGGATATAGATGGAATTTGTTAAGACCAGCCTGGGAGCAAACCCTGGCCTCAGTGACACTCAGGCTCATATGGATCAATTGCTCGTGACTGCATGTCTGGAAGTGGCTAAAAACCCATATGTGAGTATTTTCTTTCCCAACGGTATTTGTACGTGGAATCGACCATTCAATACAATAACGGTTCTTATCTACGCGCGGCAAACTGGTGCTACCTACATCGAGCGGTTAGAGACTTTTCCAGCATTTCTCTCGTAGCATGGCCCCATAGGTGATGTACCAACAAAACACTAAGGTAAGGAAGTGATCCGTTCGAAAATAAAAAATAAAATGTATAATTCCTAAAAATGTACCTGTGAGACATGGCAATACAAGTAGTCTCTGTTCAAAGTACTACATGATCAGAATGATATAACTAACACCAGAACTAGGAACATGTTTGACACACTCCCAAGAGCTAACCTCGCTCCTAAAGCACCGTTGAAGATGACCTGGCTTGCGTCGTACTATCCACAGCAATCCTAGAAAGGCAAACCACCGATGTCTCTCAATACAGAGGGGCGTCATACGCGTCGAAGTCGTAGACCCAGGTCTCATAAGATTCCTGGTCAAAAACACAGGTCAACTCGGTACCGTTGTTTCGATAATAGGGGCGAGTAGGCCAAACGCAGAGCTGGCCTTGTTCACCCGCGTTTGATCCCGTCTGAACGGTATTGTTCAAGCGATCGGGCTTGACTCCATTTTCGACCCAATCAATCAGAGTAAGCAGAGTGGTTAAAGGCCAGCCACCATTGGGCTGCTCATCGCTGTAGCTGCAGTGCGCACCGCCGGGGACGAGATAAAGGCGGTTCCAATCGTTAAGAGCATTGCTGGAACTGTTGAAGGACAAGTCCGGGTACATAAGCTGACGGACACTTTCGTGGTAGTGGACAGAAGAACCCGCCGGGATACTGGGGTCAGACTCTCCATGAACGTGGATGATCTTGCCTCCAGCGTCGCGGAAGGGACTCAGATCAGGCCAGGTAGTCTGCAGAACATCCTCATACCGCTGCCAGCCCAGTTTCATCCAGGCATAGAGGTCGTCGTACGTCACATTATCGGGTGAGGTAAGGGTATCCACCTCAGAGAGTCCCAAGAACTCAGTTACCCACTCACTCCATAGTGTATTGATATCGGCCTCCCACTCGCCCGTCTCTGAGTTGTAGGTAGCTTCCGCCTCACTGAGATCAGCGCTGGGCTGATACCAGATATATGCGCGACGCCCGTCGAGGGTATGGAGGCCTTCCAGAAGTGTGGAGACGAGGGCGGCGCCCTTGGCTGTCACAGAGCCATTCTGAGCTGGCGTGCTGCCGTCACTTTCGCAGTAGTAGGAAGCCCCGATCGTAGAGTTTATGTTGAAGTGTAGCTTGCAGAGATCAGTTCGCGCAACTACTCCATCTTCCTTGCCATCCAAAGCATCGCATGCCGTGATTGTCATGTTGTGGATTTTGTCGAGTTCGCATGTAGGAGGATAATATCCGAGTGTCTTTTCGGCAACCGGGGGAAAGAGATGGTTTGCTTGCTGTTGACCATATCTGATGGCCGGAGCACCAATCACAGCACCGTCCCATTCGTCGGCAAAGCGTTGGACCTGGCTCCAGCCCTCTCGGCCACCCTCAGAACAGCCCTGGTAGTAGGCGTAGAGTTTGGAAGTAACGTTGAAAAAGTTGCGTGTAAAGGCCTTTCCAATGGCGCTCATCTCATAGTGAGCCTGATAACCGAACATGTACAGGGCATCCCGATTGATAGTCCCATTTGCTTTGAGGAAGACATCCGAGATCTCAGCATCAAATCCACCAAACCCACCGTCAGTGATACCAGCTGCTGCACCATACATGATACCTTCGGGAAGATTTTCGGTCCCTTGGTTTATCGCGTAGGCAAAGCCACCGGTTGAGAGCCAGCGGTTGGCAAAATTATCAGGGGTAGGGAGCCAGAAGTGTAGATTAACCTCATCGTCCAGTCCATCGTGGCTGTAGGTCATGGTGACATTGCAATAATCAAATGTGGTCGAAGCGAAAAAGGCCGTTCCCGTGGAGGTATAGTTGTACACTGGGTTCGCGTGAACGGAGGCCGAGTTCAATGTCACACCAGACACCGGATGATCGGGAAGCACAGATCGACTGTAAGCTGTCGTGCAAACATCGTCCAAGGAGGTAGCTTGGGCTAGAGCCGCTAGAGTCGCGGGGATCGCGACCAGGTTTATCAAGCGCGACATGGTAAGATGAGTAGAAGTTGTTTTCGTTGACAAGTATCACAGCATCCAAGAATGTGTGGTACCAAACTCTTATAAGTAGCTGAGAGGGAGGGGGAAAGGGGGATGGAAAACCTCAATATCCCCTCTTTATTTCATGGTCTGGTGAGCGGTTTTGCACCAGTGCACAACTTGAGGCCCATCCATGTCAAAGGAAGTCCTTACACAGTTTCATCTCGAACCCGCTGGGAACTCCTGGATTTTCCTCAGGATAGGAAGGGTACGTAGGCACCCATGAATGCAGTACCAAAGTAACAGGACTATGTGGATCGAAGCGGAGACAGGGTCGAGAGCATCTATCTACTGTCAACGTAACCACCGGGAATGGCTTCCACAGAAGCATTAGAAACCAGTTTACGAGAATCTCTAAAAATATGCACTATTGCCCTCCCAATTCAAAAACTAACCAAGGATGATCAGTCGGACGTATCGTAGAAGCCGAGCCCGAACCATACTCAATCTGGGGTGAAGAACTGGGCGCTTCATTTTTTAGCCGGTAGCGTCGGATGTCGGCGTTACAGAGTACCGATATTGCCTGATATAGCATAAGATTATGTCGATCGCTCAGAGCGGGTGGGGATGAGGGGTCCAGACCCATATAAATGAGCACTTGCCGGTGCCCCTAGACTATCTCTTGTTCTATCGAGATAATCTGTCAGATGGTTCACTCATTTGCAAAATTACGCTACGTAAATACCATACGCCAACTAGGGTTATACTGAAACCATAGATCAGAGCGCAGCGGACGTAATCTGGGTGCCCAGGAATCCCACCTCCGATGTCCTAATTAATGCGAATCAAAGTTCCCATAGTAGAAAATTACTGAGGTCCAACTGCAGCCAAAGTATTCGTCATCCGCACTAGAAAACGTAATGACTGACATGCCACTCTGGCCAGCATACAGCGAGTGGCACACACCAGCATTGAGCGAGATCGATTTTCAGCACAAGAAACCTCGGATAGAGTAGCATCAAATTATACTGTTGCCTAGCCTCTTCGTATCATTTCCGATAATCCGAAAATAGCTATACGTTTATCTTCTTCACCGGCGATTATTAAAGACTTGCTGTAGCGGCCAACTACCTCTAAGTGGTAAGTTCACCCCGTACAGTGACGTGAGACCAGCTCCTTGAAACAATTCAGTGAATGATCCCAGAATATCCAATATTTGCTCCCCGTCGTGGTACATCCTATCAGAAGTACCTTGTTAAATCGAGATACGTGCAGCGTGCGTACCGTTTTGGGTAAAAACGAGCATCCTCTTCGTTCTCATCCACTCTTCTGCTTCCTTTGCTTCTTCGAATATAACCGGAACGAGCATCAAATGGGATCGGATTCAAACACCAAGACCTTCTCCTCTATCAACTTCTTATTTAACTCTCTAACACCCTTTAGAAGTCATCAAACGCCCCGGATCGTGGCGAAGGTGGCAATACGTCATGTCCGAGGATGGCTAATGCCGTTGAATGAAGACATGGACCCCGGACATGACACTTTAGGCGAATTACGTTTTGTTCAGAGCCGTGAAAGTATCTCTCGAGCCGTCTGACGACGCTCAGAAGCAATCAAATAGTTTGTATTGAAAGACATATCCCAGATATGCCTTATTGTATGATTACATTTCTGGGTTCATGCTATAGTAACCTTACTTGAACTTGATTGGGTAAATATAAGACTCGTGGCGACTAGAATTGGTAGCACAAAGTGACTCCGGATGTGTTTGTGGTCCTGTCATAGGAGCATACTCCGAGCCCTCAAATTTACATAGCTTTTCATAAGGGCTACCTCTTCAACAGGACTGCTTCACGTAATACGGAGAATAAAAGCCTCGTGCATAATCATAATGCATTGCTAACTGTGTTGAAGCTACTCTAACTAATAAAGTCAGTAGTAAAAGCCAGGATGGCACCTTGACACAGTGTACCAACAATATTGTTGGAAGGCCCTGGTGTATCCCTAGGCACTAGTGCTTGCGCACTACCACATTACTGGAAGATATATATGTTCCTACACAGTATCCGTAGTACCTTGCGCCAACCTAAATGCACCTATTCAACGAAACTACAAAGGAAAGAAAAAGAAGGGGGAGGATGAAATAATAACCCACCATTTGTGGTGGGGAGGATCCAGAAGTTAAGGGACTTGACCGCATAAAAATTTTCTCTGCTAAGGGAATGGCACAGATAAGCAGCCAAAGACATGACAGAAGCAGCGCCTTATTATGAGATAGTACTGGAGAGTGATAGCACAACGGAGCAAGCGGAAGGCACATCTCTCTGAAAACATTGCTTTAGAGCCTTTCGTCGTTACTCATTAAGCGACTGGGACAAAACATACAATTTCGAATTGTGAACCTCTTTGACGCCGCCAATTTCTGGACTGACTTTATATCCGTCCCAATATCCCATATCATGTTTACTAAATAAATAAGAAACATGGCGTTCAGATGTACCATTATCACCTAATAGCTAATGCGACGAGGGTTACTAGCAACCACAGACGGAAAATGAGTAGCAGAACGCAACATCGTAGGAGTAATCACGAGAAATCCAATTCGTGTCATGAAAGTGCCTTCACAAAGCAGGGTAAGCATAAAGGATACGGCTGGATTCTCCATGATAAGAGAATGACCTAATTACGGACGAAAAGGTGGTGGAACTTCTGCCAGTATCAAAGTTGGCTTAACATCTGGGAAGATTGGCAAAGATAGGAGGGTATATCCGTAGCTTCCGCTACTCGATAATCGGATGCTCTTGGGTTAACATATTACTCTAGCATAGTACATCAAATGTGAGAAGAATCATCTTATTTCTGTAGATCGATGAAAATGGGAATTAAAGTAAACACATAATCCCACTGGAGGGAAATCGCAATTTTCCGAAAGTGGGCGACAAAGAATGAAACAACTTCAGAAGCAGATTTGTCAAGCTTGGTGTAGATTGGCTCAACTCTGCGCTTTAGAAAGGAATTGTACCCTTGAAGAGGGAGATAGATGAAATGAAAGTAGAATGGGGTGAATCGCAAATATTCAACACATGATGGGGTTGACCAGCAGCTAAGTTCGATCACGATCAATACGCTACCAAGGTCTCGAACCAGTCTTCAAAGAGTTCGACTTTCTCCTCCGAGGTTACAGGGATCTGACCCCAGCCATTACCTACCCATTGCACGGTGGCATTGGATGTCGTGGCTGGCCAATTCACCAGAGAATTGCCGTTGGGATTACCTGACTTGATGAAATTGGCCCAGTAGGTGTTCATTTTACGTGCAATGACGTAGTCAGTTGATGTCCATGGCTTATCCGTACCATACAAGTTGTTGAGTACGTAGTTGATTTCCGACTCATGGTAGGCACCTTGGTCTTGACCGGGAGGAGCGTGATCCCAGAAGTAGGTGTACACAGGGCTTGTTTTTGCTGTAGCCCAGAGGTTGGCCCACATCCAGGTTCCAACCTTTGAACGATCCGTCCATTGTGCATTATAGCCACCTGAGACTGCAGAAGACGTGTTGCCTCCGTAAGCATCAATGAACTTAGATAGCCAAGGTTCAGTGAATGTCTCATTCATCTCAGCGAGAAATTCTTCAACAGTGATGTTAAGACCATAAGTAGCACCACTTTCATCTTTCGTGTTTCCGGTAATAACAGGAACGTCTTGAGCAAGGCCCTTGACAAGGGTATTGATATAGGTGTCCGGCATGGTGTAGTAGTCGAGAACCGCGGTAAAGTCCAAGGAGGTGCCACTGTTCTCAATCTCTTCCATTGACAACTCCCGCAACTCGTCAATGGTCGTGACATTGAAGTCAGCAAGGAATTCTTCGCCGTTGGCCAGTGCAGCATCGAGTGTAATGTAATTCTCAGCTACAGTGGTACACATGGGATCATGCGGATCACGGACACCACTCTCAATGATAGCACCCACGATCAGGCCCTTAGTAAGTCCACTGTTCAGGATATGCTGGGTCGCAGCAGATCCAGCAGACTGACCCATGACAGTAATCCGTTGGGGGTCACCACCAAAAGATTCAATGTTTTCAGAAATCCACTTCAAAGCAGCAAATTGATCCAGCATAGCCCAGTTACCAGAGCTATTTGAACCAGTGACGGCATAAAACTCCTCAGACAGCTGCTTATGGGCAAGCCAACCGAAGGCCCCAGAGCGGTAATTGTAATTCACGAAGACAATGCCTTGATCAGCCATACCACCTCCATCAAAAAGCGCATCAGCAGCAGTTGATTCAGCAGGATAACTCCACATGACCACAGGAAGTTTTGCATCGGTAGAATTAGCAGGGCTCCACACGTTCAAGTTCAGACAATCTTCGTCGATGGTGTATTCGTCGGAGCCAGGGCCGGAGGTGGCACCAGGACACACATTGCCGAACGATTTGGCATCACGTGTGCCATTCCAAGAACTGGGCGATTGGGGAGCCCTCCAGCGGTTTTTCCCGGCAGTTGTGGCTGCAAATGGGATGTTCTTCCACGTGGTGATATCCTTCCAGTGAGACAAATTTCCGGAAGGTTCGCTGGTGAAGGCAGGATAACCTTGCAGCTTGCCGTACTTGGTTTCAATAACGGTGTCGTAAAGTGCTGCATTGGCTCCGGGAAGACAAGAGACAGAAACAGAAGCAGCGAGCGCTAGCTTCGCACGCCAGGATTGATTCATCACGCGAAGCAACTGTGGCAGGATTGGAAAATGAGTGATTGTGGTGAAAGAATGGAATGAATTGGTGAGGAGGTGAGTCTCTGAGGGGGCAATATCGTCGCCATTTATCAAACTTTGGAATGGCTGTCAAAGAAAAGAATGATATCAGAATCTTAATCAAGCAATGTAAGTTAGATTAACGGCCGCGCGGCATGCTGCTGCATCTACGTTTCATAGAGATCACAGCTGACGTCTGTAATAGTACATAGCAAGTTCTCCGAGTAGTCCAGCCGTCAAGATCATCGTGTATTTGATTTGAAATACCTAGGTATTTTTGAAACTCGGAGGTTGAAAGTAACCGGCGCAATCACCTCCGACCCTGCAGATCAGAGAAATTCTAATTGGGTCGGGGTTTTCCCGAGCGAGATACCCACTTCATCACATGACGCGTAAGTTGACCTGTTTCTCACCGGGATGATCCCCACTTTCAAATCATCTTATCTCGCTTTTCAGTTTCTTATTGTATTGTGGTCGAAACAAAAGTAGCTGACTATCAATTCTCCTCTAAGATAGTAGACTCCCATGTATACTCGATTGAGGTTGGATCTACATAGGCAGCAGTAGCAGTGAACATACCTTTTCCAATACTGCTGAACAGACCTCGAATAACAGAGTTGTGTGCCATTGTGTTCTTCAAGTGGCGAAGGTGGATATTGAAATTAAGCCTTCTGTTTCTGATTTAGGGGCAGGCTTCAACTTAGCTGGTATCTGTTCCATAGGTTTTCTCGTGGTCTCTGAAACTAGCTAAGTATATCTCACTATTTTCCATTTGTTAACAGAAATGGTACGCCATGTTTAGTGCGAATGTTATACATTCATTCTGCGTCTCAACATTTGGCGTTAAGTTTCCTGCAACTGTAATTGATAATCCTTCGTTACAGGCTACCGCCGGAAAATATCTCTGCGTTGTTTAAAATGGCAAATTATTACATTGCTTCGATAGACAGTAACAGTCTCTATTGCCTTCTCGAATTCTTGGTGGTTAGAAATGCTTCGTTTTATGACTAGGACCGATGTAGAACTCATCCCGTCTAGAGACAAAATTTTAATACTTGCCAAATATTATTGTTAGTAGGTCGGCACCCTATCGCATCTTCCTCATTAGGGCTTAGTGAAGTCTAACCAGAATAAGAGAGTCTGAAATAATCAACCCATCATTTCCGATTCTCAACGAGCGAGAAAGCATTTTCAGCCAGCGCAGCGATGTTGACGCAATTCCGGAAGACTTGAAGGATGAGCTTGGCCGTAGAGGCAAGAAATTCCATTCTAAAAAGGGATTGGTCTTTCCAACACACAGAGAACCTGGTTTGCTAGACATTACACATTTGTTCTGTGTTTAATGCTCGGAGCTGAAGAAGTCTTGGCAGGGTATACAATGCACTAAGACATAGACGGGATACTCATGGTTAGGAGAGGTAAAGTACTACAGTCAGTGACCATGGGTTGGAGAAGGTCTGGCCTAATCCAGAACACGGAGATTGAGGCTATATTTGTGGGACTCAAGCAACTACCCCATTTGTATGTTTGGGATTTGCATCCCACATCGGCGACTGGATTGTTTCCACCGAATAGAAATAGAGACTAAAGAAATTACATGCCGCCCAAAGTACGTCAGCCAGTGAAGCGGGCGTTGAAACGTCAAGGCGCGCACCTTCCCGGGATTTACGGGAAGAAACCCGGTTCATGCTCATTGCTGCCCATTGCACATTATTTCGCTCTCTGCTGTGCAAACTGAATGTGGAGGGCATCACCGGGTTGGATTGGTTTGATCAGAGCCGAGTCAGAAATGAGTACCTTGAGTAACAGAGGACATATAGTCTACTTGCTCAACAATGCCATAACCTGAGCAAATGCGGTCGAAATAGGCCAGTACCATGTTATTGAAAATCGATCCCAGCGTCACATATTGATAGTGAAATTATTTTGTGTTATAACTAAGGTGGGGACGAATACATCACTGGTGCTCAGTAATTGAATGCGAAATATTACGACCAAAAACTCCGTACAGTGAAGTGACCATACGTGATTAGTCTCCAGCCAATTGAAGCAAACACTTCCCTTGCAGTAGGATTCTAATGTCATATCGATAACTGGCAGCAACTCCCGCATTATCCCTCTATTCCTCTGCTTTTTCCTCTATTTGTCAGTATGCCTCTGTTTCTGTAATCATATACCCCGCCTCCGTTGTAAATAATTTGTGTTGATGCTCAGCGTGTTTCGAAGAGTCTGTGCTATCAGATTTTTTGATATGAAGAGTCCAGTCCAAGTTTGGGCAAAGACTTCCACTGCGTGTATATTGAAGAAGTTGGCATTGCATGCTATGCTCTCTCTACTGAGGCGTACTATATATCAGTTCCCCCGGTGGATTAATCTAAAGTACTACGAACCATGTGTAAGGAATAATCGGATGATGCAATACATTATCATAACACTGGCCACGATCAAGTTTAAAGACTTTCAGCCGGTAAGATGCTATATAAGTTGCAACTAGTCATTACTCTACTTGCAAGAACAATATCACCAGCTCTTAGCCGATATTAGGATCCTCATAACTAGCTATAACAGATCACTTTGCGCCTTTTGCTTTGTCTTCGCAATGGTTCATTCTATTCTTGTCTAACTTAAGTCTCATATGAACAGCTTAATGTAGCAATTAGTAAAATTGAGTAATAATCAATGGGTCTGCGTTGGAGTATAGCTGATTTCACTTGGCTGCACTCTGGTTGGCAAGCCAAAGTACGAGGGAAGATACTTTTCCTGTGCATTTGCTGCTAAATAGTGTATATCACGGTATGAACTAGCTGATATTTCAAAGGCCAATTCTCTTTTAGTAAACTATTTATACGAGCTGATATTGCCTTGTCATACAAATCGTTATTTTCTTGTTACCGGGTGTATCTCTATCGAATCACCCAAACGGGACAATTTTCTTGCCGGAGTGTAATTCTATTTCACTTATTGATCTGTCTTCGATCTACCTTCCCATTTCATTGCATGGGATCTGCTTACTCTGTCCCAATCTAGTATCAGTTATTCATTGTTTCTTCTGTCAGATACGACTGTTAGAAACTTATGATATATATTTAGACGCTGGCGGCAAGGAATAATTCGGTAATATATGTTAGCTCAAGGGAACACTCAGGGTAATCATAAACCAATCTCGTTAGTAGTGATCGAGTTCTCGCAATAACTTACTTATATCAATTTCAGAATACACCCGTATACTTATACCATGGACCGAGGGGTTGCTAGGTGAGCACAACATAGCGCCAAACTCGACCCGAAGTAGAAACTCACACTCGATACCCACGAAAAACTCTCCAGGTGAAATAGATAAGACATGTCTATATATTCATGGATATATCTCCTTTGCCACAGTGGTTCTTTTAAACAACTTCCAGACTCCCTTAACAGATCGCCCCAGAAGACCAACTCTATGATTTCTTTTCCTGCTTTATGCGCGTCGCTGAATTGCGAATTTTTCTCCCTTTATTTTGCGAATTTTTGGGGAACAAGGCTAGCCGCGCCACAGTATATAGACCAAATTCCCCTCGACGATCCCCTCACAGGTGCTTCACTCAGTGTCCGTATTTACCGCATATTCACTCCTCTTGCGGATGATCGGCCCATAGAAGTAAAGCAAATAAGGCACCAACGCCATAACTGCACTGATAGACCCCAGGATGGTGAGGGTATACTGCACACCGAGAGCCTCATAGATCGGACCCCCAGCAACAGTCACGCCTCCCGCTACCACATATCGCGTGAACACGAGGAATCCCAGAGCGGATGCAGAATATGTGTCGTAGGAATCGATGAGATACATGTATGCAACGATGAAGATGGTGGTGATACCGTAGCCGAAGAAGACGGAGGCAACGAGAGGGGACCATATTGAGATATTTGGCTGTGGAGACAGAGAAAGGTTAGCATGTTGCAAAACAAGTGGGAGTATCCATATAGACTTACATTACTTGTCCATCCCATCCAAAACAAGCTGATCGGCACTGCTACTGCGCCACCAAGCATCGTGTACCAGAGTCTCATCTCAGGTGCAATAGTGGACTTATCTCGAGCATAGGCCTTCGCAGTCCAGCTGTAGACCACCGGCACCACGCCGATGATCAAAAAGATTCCAACGAGCATACCAGCCCAGCAAAGGTTGGTCAGTCCTTCGGAGAGGCCATATGCATCGCCAAAAACATAGGTATACCCCTCAAGAAAGGTAAAGAGCACAATATAGATAATTGTCAGATAGAGCGACATCAGGATGATGATTAGTTCCGAGCAAAACATCGCAAATGGTCGGCACACGGAGGTCTTCAATCGCTGACCGAGGCCCTTCTGATTGATCTCCATGGGAGCTCTGTATCTCTCATCACCGGTCTCTTTTCGAAGCACGGAGGCCTTCCAGTAGAGGATAAGGTTGCCATATGTTTCAGGCTGGAATAAAAGGACCAGAGCGAGAACCACACCACCCATTATCAGCATTACCCACTCTAGCCATCGCCAGCCTAGTGTGACTGGAATATAGCTCCCAGTTATTTGGCCGATCATGGGTCCCATAAATGCAGGTACAGCGTAAATAGGAAAAGCATAGGTCTTTTCCAGAGGGTCCCATAAGTCGGCAACTGTGCCACCGGCGCAGGTTAGCGGAGTGGAAGCGAAGAGGCCGGCAAAGAAACGAAAGATAAGGTGACTATGGAGGTTTGGGGCTAGTCCTGATGCCATGACGAAGATCAAGAAAAGGAGCATTGTTGTGGAATAAATGGCATTACGCCCGAAGGTTTCAGAGAAAGGGCCAGAGAGAAGGGAACCGAACGCAAAACCGATAAGGAACAGACCTGTTCAAAATACGAAGAGTTCAGCTTTGTGCTATGACAGAGTCCAGTAGATGCCATCATACCTGTTGCTAGAGACCCGACAACTTCCGATACCTGGAAGTATGCGCTATATTCCCTGACACCACAAGCATCAATCGCCGAGGCGGCAGACACGGCCAATGCTATTAATGACACCAAGAAAGTCATGAAGAGTTTCCGAGAGGTGTTCTGGTTTGCAGGATTTAAGGGATCATTTTCCCCTTCCCAGCCTACAAGAATCGCAGCGTCAGGGGTCATCGATCCGGCAGACAATTTCTCCAGGCTACTATGATGGTCGCTCAATTTGCAGCTATATAGTCTTGTATTAGACACACGCACACCTGATTAACTTGTCACCTAGACTTACTCGGGACCATGATGAGCGTTGACAGAGTAGCTCGGACAGCTGCAATTATCTTTCAGCTTTGCCAAGTGCTGTTGCACGGATTTTCGAACCCGTTGGTACTGGAGATAAGCCTCCATCTCCTGTATATCTGCCTGACAAGAAGGAAGGAAGGATATAGACTAGTAAGCTGGTGAAAATTCTCCAAAGAAAGAATGACTCTCACGAGCTTCTATAGTCTTAACATCTCCGATCCGCTCGCCTATTTCTCCGATCAATCGGACTTGAGTGGATTGACTTCATGCAACCCAATACAGCCAAAATGTCAATAGTCCTTATGAAAATCTGGTTAGATACACACGTAAGTCTATTTCATACATCAACCCTGGGAATATGCTGAATTCTTCGGCTTTTCTTCCCCATAAATCCATACACAGTGTGAACTGTAAGGCAGTTTGTATTTTCCGGTATTGGTAATTCTATATGAATCACGTGACTTTGATCAAACTGGACGGCCTCAAGCCATGAACTGATCAATGGACGCTTCATTATGCCTTATGAATATAATCATGCTTGTACAGTCCTTCATAGCGGGTGAAATGGAAGTTGTTGACCTGATTTTCGATATTCTATGGGGAAGGTGGTTGCATAGAAATTTCTTCTCTCCCGTGTAATATCGGGAACTTCTTTCTCCGACCTTCACCATCGGGAACCGATCTTCTTTGTGGCAATCTTCAATGATTCAATGAATGCCATCTCCGACCAACATTTCTCGTGTCGGAGTTTTACCCTGAGCAATAACTAGGCCTTTTTTGTATTCGTTTATGCTCATTATCTACGAGGAGAATGTTGGGCAACGACTTGATCCATAACGGTGCCATCCAGGAAGTGTCCGGATTCCTTCGGCGAAAGCGCAAAGCTGTTAATTGCGAGGAATGCCGACGCTCCAAGTTGCGATGCGATCGTCAGCACCCTTGTGGTGCGTGCAAGCGTCGCAAGCGCGAATCTATTTGTTCATATGAGGCCCCTTCTGGTTTATCTGCATCAAGAAAAACTCGCAGGAAGCCTGTGACCACTTCGGCGTCATCTGCGTTGAGTGGCGGAGCAGGATCTCCGGCTACACCGACACGAAAAGGTGCCATCTCTTCAATTTCACAGCCTGAAGAGAGTATATCTGAAGTAGAAACATCACCTCCAGGTGTACACTGGGAAACTGTGCTTGAACGCCCTGTTCCAGAGGAGGATGTTAATGACACACTATCGCCCCTTTCTATAAGTCCCCGCATTCCCCTCCAGGAAATGATAGACTCGCTTCCACCGAAGTCCTGTTGCGACTATCTGGTTTCACACTTCTTCAAACATATCTCCGCTTTGTTTCCCATTCTGCATGGTCCAACCTTCCAGAAACAGTATACGGCGTTCATGCAACGCCCTCAAGATGTCGACTTACCTTGGCTAGCTTTGCTTTTCGCTTTATGTTCTTTGTCTCTGAACACTCTAGATGAAAGTGACCCCAGGCTAGCGTGCGTCTGGTCTCAGCTGCCTTCGAGTGTCACGCAACCTACAAGCACAGTTCCTATCACGGTTTCTGTGTCTCGCCGTCTGCTTCGGACTGCAATAACCTGCCTTCTGCAGGGCGATTTCTTGATCCGGCACACATTCAGCACCTTGGAGGCTCTATTAATGGTAATATACAGCCTCTCACACAATGAATCTGTCGACCAAGGCTGGGCCCTGTTGGGAATGGCGTTGAATATTGGCATTGCGTTACGTTGCAATGTGGAACAGAAGAACCTGGGCACAATCGAGACCGAAAGGCGGCGACGCTGTTGGGCCGGTCTTTTGACATTGCACACGTATCAGGGAATGCTTTTCCGGGAATTCGATATGTCATACCTTCTTAGCATTCAAGCTCCTCTACCTGCCGATGTTAATGATGTTGATATTACCAACGAAGGCATTGTGCAGCAGTCCTGTAGCGAGCCCACGCAGATGTCCGTCATGATGGCGAAGCTTCGACTGTTCCGGCTCTCCACTCAAATCTGTCGTCATACCTCGGGGCCTTCACGTCTCGACCAGCAGGCCCTGCATGATCTTGATGCTGCGATAGCGGAAGAGCAAAAGCAATGGGACGCGGCCTATATGGTTGATGGCTCTCCCAATATTTTAGATTCTAATCGCTATGCTTATTGGTGCGTCTTGCAGACGTACGCGCATCATCTCTATCTTCTGCTACACCGGCCGTTTCACCATTCCAAAGCGTCTTGCTTTCTTCCATTTTCCAGAGAAAGGTGCATTAGCTCCAGCGCAGCTATGATTTCCCTTCACAGACAACTCTACGAAGCTCCAATCCTTCGAAACTACTTCTGGTTGCTTAGTGGGGTGATCAGTCTGAAAGCACTCCATGCAGCTGTGGCCCTGAATTCGTGTCTCCAAGATGACACGGAACATAACCTAGAATCTTTTCGAGAAGAGATTGAAAGTTTGATTGCCCGCATGAAAGATCTGTCAGGCCGAAGTCATATCTGTCTCAGAGCGTATCGCATACTTCGCCATTTACAGTAAGCTACCTAATGTATTCTGTCAATATCAGCCAACTAACCATTCATTCTTAGAGCCCAAGCAGGGACAGGGGACCTACCAGCAGGGAGCTCGGAGACCCCATTCGAGAATCTATTTGAAGATTTGACAAATATGCGAGAATGGATGGATGCGGATCTGATCGATTGGGTATGTTACCTTCCTCGGGATATCGAGCCTTTGGCTAATAACTCAGAGCTTGGATGGGCAATTCAATGTCTTTGCACCATGATTGAACGTTAGCATTACAATATTGTGGGACTAGGGTAGTTCGCGTCGGGTCACATGCCGCTTGCCCGGAAACAAATATTCAAGAGAGACTCGAGCCAATCTTACGGCCCATCATTTGATCTCATCGAGTATGATTATCTTTGTTGATTGAGACGTAGAACTAAACTCTAATGATTGTTTTAGGAAATCATGCATGTGCCTTCCCACTTCCAGGACGATATCAATCTTAGGACCTCGGTTGAGCATACATCAGACACCGATTAATGCTTTCCTTGTCTGCAAGAACCTTTTGTCCAAGGTTCGTAACCACAGACTTCTACTGGAATTGTACGGAGGCTTAATATCTCATGTCTACGAACATGAGAATGCCCAGAAAGCAGATCTCCTCGTATGCTCTCATGCTTTGGGTGCCTCTTTGCAGCACTCGTTCTATCCGACGATAGAGTTCGTGGAAGTGGAAGCCACGGGGTTTTCCAAGATGACAAGCACTCTTGAAATAAACTCAACGTGGCTCAGCCCACTCGTATGGTCAACAAGTTGCTACTGATCTCGGTTCGTGTTACTCTCGTTGCAGGATCTGAAGAACCAGGATCACTGGTTGCCCAACCACACACATCGCCATATTACGTTTTTATTTGACATCATGAAAGGCGAGACAGAGTGCCCTTTAGGATTTGCTTCTTTCGTGTAGCTCTCTCTTTCCGTGTTCCTCGTGTGTTCTATTTGGTGGTCGTATGAGGCCTTGTGCTCTTCACGGCAGGGCCAAGCGAATAGAGTATTTGTGGCTTCTTGGCAGGATGCAGCAGCTCATTAAGCGCACATTGGCGCATACACATGCAAGGATTTCAGTAGAGATGTGGGATGTTTGTGTGTGGTAGAAAATGCATCCCACGGTTAGCTTGATGGCGTGCTCGGGACTAAAAATTCGCCATGCCAGTGGAGGGACTCGGCCACTTCCCGGCCACGTCGCCCCTCCCTGTTTAAACCTGGTCAATGGCGCCGTAAACCATAGCATTGGCGTCATATAGGATATCAAAGTCTTATATAAAATTGTGTCTGATGGTGATATCAAAAGCCTGGTTCAGTAGAAACAGTTCCACATGAATACAGACGGTTGAGCTTAACCCTTCCCTGACGCGGTCCCTCAACCACCACCATAACATGCTTAAAACAAGTTGTTTCAGCCTTGTGGAGTAAGTTACTCCACTTAACGTAATGTCCCTTGGGAAATACCTAGAGTAGATCTTTTTTCAGCCAGCAGAATAAAATAAAGGTGGATATAAGTGGCATACCAGACTTATGGTATGATTGGATTGGCACTTCACTTACCTTAGTTCTGACCGTGGAGACCGACAGCATGATAGATGGGTCTGCTTTTGTGGACCCTGGGCCAACCCTATCCCGTCTGTTTACGCAGCACAATAGACACACAGATTGGGCCAGGTTGCAGAAAGCTTGGGTGATTGCATCGTGCCCCTCATATTTCCTCTTTTCCGTATGCAATAACATTAGACCACGGAAGTAGGACTAGCTTCGTGGAAGGACCGCCTAGAGTCTGTTCTTAGCAGCGCTTACTGCGCTACATGAGGGATCCCTGCAGACATAAGCCAGGACTGAGCCCTTCCTGGCGAACACGAAAAATGCCACCCATCTAACGTCTTACGAGTGATCGTCATTCAGCTCATCTTGATCAAGAAGAAGGCAATCACTTAGTCTCGTGTTATTTTATTCATCTATGGTTCAGCCATGTCGAAAAAGGCCAATGCGCGCTCGGCATGGGCGTGGAGGTGCATCTGGCCGGCACATGGCAAGCCCCAGCTGCATTGCCATTTCGGAGCTAAAATCACGACATCGATCCCCTGTCCTCTGATAAAATATCTGAGACTTCTCACGCGATAAGCTTAACATTTATTATTCCCCTCCGGATCCCATTCCTCATCGGTATATGCCCAGATCTGAAAGCTCTGTCTGCTGACACGGAAAATGACCACAAAAGTTGGCCATCTTCTGGCAAAGGTGCTCGGGATCGATCTGGCATCAAACACCGACCCATACCTTCGTGATGGATCAGATACTGCTGGCCATTATGTCGAAACAGAGCCAACAGCCGGCGAATGGCTGCGCGAGCTCGTACCATCCCGTCGCCAAATTGGTCGCTATTTCTACGACTTGTTCCCTTTCCTTCACTGGATCATGAGCTACAACATGCAGTGGTTCATCGGTGATCTGATCGCAGGTGAGATGCCTCATAAAAGTTACTGAAGTGAGTGAGGCTTACATCTATAGGTGTTACTGTCGGAGCTGTGGTGATCCCACAAGGCATGGCATACGCCATCCTAGCCAAATTACCTGCCGAATATGGACTATATTCCTCCTTCATGGGCGTGTTAATATACTGGTTCTTCGCCACATCAAAGGATATCACCATCGGTGTAGGTCTTCCATTTCCTTGTCATGACCAACAACTAACCCGATCAGCCGGTGGCCGTCATGTCCACCTTAGTTGGAACCATCATCATCGAAGTCCAAAAAGACTATCCTGACGTCGACGGCCCAACGATTGCCGGAGCCCTTGCCATCATCTGCGGTGCGATCGCGACCTTCATTGGCCTGTTCCGTCTCGGATTCATCGTCGACTTCATCCCTCTTCCTGCGATTACCGCCTTCATGACCGGATCTGCGATCAATGTGTGCGCCGGACAAGTCAAGACAGTCTTGGGAGAAACGGCTGACTTTTCTACCCGTGGATCGACATACATGGTCATCATCAATACCTTGAAATATCTGCCCACCTCGCAGATGGATGCTGCCATGGGCTTGACGGCACTTGCCATGCTGTATGCCATCCGCGCGGCATGCAACTATGGAACCAGGAAATACCCTCGGAAGGCGAAGCTCTTCTTTTTCCTGAATACCCTTCGCACGGTCTTTGTGATTCTGTTCTATACGATGATTAGTGCTGCAGTCAACCTCCATCGTCGCAACAATCCGGCATTCAAGATGCTGGGCAAAGTTCCTTATGGGTTTCAACATGCGGGCGTTCCCAAAATCAACGTTGATATTATCAAGACCTTTGCAAAAGAGCTACCGGCAGCAGTGATTGTCTTGGTGATAGAGCATATTGCTATCTCAAAATCCTTCGGTCGCGTCAACAACTACACCATCAACCCTTCCCAGGAGTTCATCGCTATTGGCATCTCAAACCTCCTCGGGCCCTTCCTAGGTGGCTACCCTGCCACTGGTTCGTTCTCTCGGACTGCGATCAAAGCCAAGTCCGGTGTACGGACGCCGCTGGCCGGCGTCATCACCGCCATTGTTGTTCTGCTTGCTATTTACGCCCTTCCAGCTCTGTTCTTCTTCATTCCCAGCTCATCACTTTCTGCTGTTATCATTCACGCCGTCGGCGACTTGATCACACCACCTAAAGTCATCTACCAATTCTGGCGCGTGTCACCTCTTGATGCTCTCATTGCTTTAATCGGAATCATCGTCATTATCTTCTCCAGCATCGAAGACGGCATCTACTGCACAATCTGTATCTCGGTTGCAGTCCTGTTATTCCGCGTCGCCAAGGCCCGCGGTCAGTTCCTCGGTCAGGTCCAGATCCACTCCGTCATCGGCGACCACCTTGTAGAAGAGACCGGCTCAGCCAAGGAATTCAGCACCACCGCTCAGCTTTCCAGCTCCGATTACAAGCGCACCGCTAGTCGAACTGTCTTCCTTCCCCTGAAACACACCGATGGTTCCAACCCGACCATCCCCATCACCCAGCCCGCACCAGGCATCTTCATCTACCGCGTCTCCGAAGGCTTCAACTACCCCAACGCCAACCACTACACCGACAATCTGGTCGAACACATCTTCGAATCTACCCGACGCACTAATTCATCCTTATATGCTACCCCTGGCGACCGACCATGGAATGACCCCGCCCCTCGCAAAAGCAAGGCCGAACAAATTGCCAACTCCACAGAGAAACCTTTGCTGCGTGCAGTCATTCTGGATTTCTCTGCCGTCAACAACGTCGACGTGACCTCGGTTCAAAATCTGATCGATGTCCGGAGCCAGCTGGACCGGTATGCCGCCCCGGACCGAGTCCAGTGGCACTTCGCCCATATCAACAACCGATGGACCAAGCGGGCTCTCGCTGCCGCGGGATTCGGTCGGCCTTCGGATGTGCCTGAGTTCAAGCCAATCTTCAACATCACGGAGGCAGTATACTGTGGAGATAGTTCGGACCAGCGCGCCAGTGATATCGAGTCGCAAGCCGGTGATCAGTTGAAACAGAGCAAGAGTCGGGATGACAAGAACGCTGGGGTCCTGAGTATACGGGAAATGGATGAGGCAGCCAAGGGCTCGGAGAGGACAGCTGTGCAGCGACGCGGAGATGGCAAGCCGGCGGTGGTGACTGGGGTGAACTTGCCATTGTTCCATATTGACTTGAAGAGTGCTCTGGAATGTGCGATGGCATCGGTGTCTAATACTCCGGCCAAGGTGCATGCCAGCTAATGTGGTTTTCATGTTAGAACTTCGTACATAATATAAGTTAGACAATATTTACCCTATTTATACAAGCTTAACCATATTTCCCCAGTATTAGAATGACTGTAGGGCTACCCAAGACCTCCACATAGTCCCATCTTCGCGACGATCCCAACCTATTTCCATCGGCGACTCTCTCGGCGAAACCCCGCATCTTAAATCAGGCTGTCCGCGGGGTAAACAATGGTATTTCCGTTCATAAATGTGATTAATCCTTCTTTCCCACTACTTTTTCGTAATCAAACACACAACCACACCAAACAGCTCACGACTGAGAAAATACAAATATGGGCTCCATCGCCCTCACCGATATGTCCAACCCTTCGTGCCTCCTCTACGGCGCCCACGACGCCCGCTACGAAGACCGACCCATCCCCACCATCACCTCCCCAACAGACGTAATAATTCGCATCGCCTACACCGGCGTCTGCGGCAGCGATGTACATATCTCTCTCCCTTCTCCCAGTTCCCCCCTTATCCACCCACCCAGCTTTTAACCAAAATTCAGGTCCACTTCTACCTCCACGGCGGCATCCACCGCCCCATCTCCCCATCCAACCCCATAACAATGGGCCACGAATCCACCGGCATCGTCCACGCCATCGGGCCCGGCGTAACCACCCTCTCACCAGGCGACCCGGTAGCTCTCGAACCCGGGTACGCATGCCACCGCTGCAGCCTCTGCAAATCCGGACGGTACAATCTCTGCCGGGAGATGAAGTTCGCCGCCGTCCCGGGTGTATGTCACGGCACGCTTACTCGCTTCTTCAAGTTACCGGCTGATTACTGTTATCGTATCCCGGAGGGGACGTTGGGACTGGATGAAGCGACGCTGTTGGAGCCGTTGGGGGTGGCGGTGCGGTCTGTCAGGGAGGTGGGGGTGAAGCCTGGGATGAGTGTTGTGGTGTTCGGAGCGGGATCGGTGGGCGTGTTGTGTATGGCTGTGGCGAGGGAGTTTGGGGCAAGTAGGGTGGTCGGGGTGGATTTGAGTGAGAAGAAGTTGGCGTTTGCGGAGAGCGTGGTGGGTAAGGGAGTTTGGGGGGGTGGGTATGTTCCGTCTGGGGATGGGGAGGTGGATGGGAGGAGGCTGGTGGAGGGGTTCTGTGGTGGTGATGAGGAAGGAAATGCAGGGTTTGATGTTGTTATTGAGGCTACGGGAGCAGAGGCTTGTATTAATCTTGGGATAGAGGTGGTGAAGGTTGGAGGGGCGTTTATGCAGACGGGGCTGGGTAGGAAGAATGTGGATTTTCCTCTTGGGACGGTGGTTGGGAAGGAGGTGATGGTTAAGGGTTGTTTTCGGTATGGGCCAGGGGATTATAAGCTCGGGATGCAGATGGCTGTGGAGGGGAGGATTCCGCTGAAAGGTTTTATTACGAAGATTGTCGGGTTTGAGGATGCGGTTGAGGCGTGGGAGACTACGGCTAGGGGTGAGGGGATCAAGACGTTGATTAGGGGGGTGGATACGCCGGTGGAGGAGTAGGCTGCAGTCTGCTGCATCGATTGGATAGTGCATGGTACGTGTAGATGAAGCTGGATAGATAGCTATCGTTCTATCCCAGCATGCATCCGGGCTATGCCCTCTGTGCCTGAGTGGTCATCCTCTTCACTTCATCCTCCAAGATCTCCGGCAACGTCGCCTCAATACTCGGCTTCGTCGGCGTCCATCCCAACACCTTGGCTCCTCTCCTGGCACGTCCCCGAGAGTTCAATCCCCAACTCAGCGCCTCATAGCCACCGAATTTCTTCGCATCCTCCAAACTGATCTTCTCCTTCTCGACTCCAGGCAGTAAACCCAGCTCTGTCGCAGTCAACGCCGTTGCCACAGCCAGCTCACCCCAAACAAGCTCCCCATTTTCAGTCAGATAATAGGCTCTCTCCCCCCACAACTCCGGATCATCGCGTCCATGCACGGCCGCCTCAACAAGCAGCACATACAACTCGCTCAAATCTTGAATATGGATGTTATTCCAGATCGACTTGCCATCTCCAATGAGCGGTGCCTTCTTAAGCTGTAGGGTCACCTTGGCCAGCTCGTAGACTTGTCGTCCACGCACGGATACAGGGCCTCGACCACGTCCTATGCAACACCCATTAATACCACATCCACCCTTAATTCCAGAAAAAGGATATTTTACATACCATAAATAGTAGGTGGACAGACCAACGCCGTCTTCACCACATCCCCTTTCGCTTTCGCCGTCTCAAGTACTACTCGATCCACATTGCGATGGAACGCATGCTCCGGGAGATTCAACAACTCGTCCACCCCGTCCCAGTCATCGTAGACCTTGTCACTACCTTCACCAAACACGTTACGATCCGTGTCATGGAACGTAAGGATACCCGTGCCGCCGGTATGCAGCCAGTATCCGGGCTTTTCTTTGCTGTGGCCTTTTTCTAAGCCTTTGGCGATGGCGTTCGCGGCACCTTCGTGGTCGGAGGCGTCGGCGGTGTCTATGTATCCTTTTAGTACACTGCTAGGATAGCCAGAACGATGGACACTAGGGAACAGGGTTACGCATACGTAAAACGATATCAGCTTCAGCACTCTCCTTCTCCAAGAGGGCAGAGTCGTCTAGGTCGCCGATGACAACTCTGATAGAAGGATACTGGGCTTGGACCTGTGCGGCCTTTTCTGGGGACCGGACCAACACAGTGTATTGATATTCAGGATGCTTGGCGAAGATGGCGTAGAGGGCATCGCCGCCGATGTAGCCGGTTGCGCCGGTGCTGGAGGTCAAGTGTTAGCGAGATATATAATGCGGTAGTACGACCGAGTGGAGTGGTACATGAAGATCTTGGGAAGAGTGGTCATTTTGCCTGGAATTATGTTTTTAGAGAGCTTGGCTACGACCTAAGTCTCGTTACGTCTGGAGAGTAGCGCTGTTATATCTCAACTGAGAGGTATTGACATTAATAATAGCTGTAGGCGATGAAGTCAGTCCGTAAGCCGATGACGTCGGATTCACCAGTTGGCGATTGATAAGTCCTTTCCGCCTGCCGGATTAGGAATTCTCGGCCGACGGCGGCTTCCGCCGACTACAAGTCCGGGGTTACCCCTTTCTCGACTCAGCTTAAACTCCGCATGCAGGGTTCGACGACTACCCTGTTACCCCTCCTGCAATTGCCGGATGCCGGACACTTCGGGTGTATTCTGGTGTTACTGATGCTCAATTAATGGGCTTGAGTTCGACATACTGCTGATGTAGAGGGGTGTGGTCCCGATAGGCAGCAGGATATTTTGGGACCCGTAGAGCGATATTTTCAGCTTGGGGATGAATCTTTGATGAGGCCATTGCTTTCCCGGAAAGTAGTCTCCCCAGGACTGGAGAGTTTGTCGAGCAACAAGCCAAAGATCAGATAGAACTCTGAGACTGTGACATGCCCTAATCTGCAAGTCAGCTATCCTACCACTGCCCTATACACAATCGGAGGACTGTGAACTGCGGGTCAAAGATAAGATCTTTGAACCATGGAAGCATCCCAATAAGGTATTCTTCATATCCATCCTTATCAATTACCAACATGATCAAAATTTTCTTCACCGGTGGGGTCTCGCCCGCAATGGCATGATCTCGACCCGAGCGTTGCTACGTTACTCTTCACGCCTGAAGAAGCTTGGGCAGGTTGAAAATTCGAACTACCAATGGCATACATCTCAAATGCCGCTCCAAGCCATTCCACCGTTCCTATTCGACAGCCCGAAAGCCTCCAAGAACAGGACGCGCTGCCCCCTCCATCCAGGTGGGTCTCAGCTTTGTCCGAGGTCTGGCGGGTGAAATTTCTTCCACGCGTGCAACTCGCTTTAATGAGATTTGCTGCGCACATTCTTACTGAAATAGAAAGGCCTGTGAGAAAATTAGAGTTGTAAAAGGCTTATATCAGTTATGGTCCTGTATACCAAGAATCATGGTTGGTATAGACAATATCAGTTTCATCACGGCGTGACTCACGATGCACGACCACCCGCATATCTCCGCGGCAAGCTTTTACGTACCAATAGAAGATAAGAAGTGTGATCCAGTTGACTTGATGGCTTGGCTATCGGGTGATATCCGCAGTGTCTCTGCGTCTACATAAAGCGGGGTTCTTCGCTGCCGGCTTTTCACTTCCCCTCTCCCCTCACTGTTCGCTCGTTCTGAATGTCCTATCCACACAAAATGGGTGCAGACCATATTGTAGCGGCCAGTGATGGCGTGACTCGTGAGAGAAACATCGAGGCCCAGAGTGCCTTTGCTTCTACTTTGGTGGTGGATGTTGAGAAAGCGGCTCATCCTAAGGAAGCGCCCACTGACAGACCTCATACCAATGTCTATGGATCCACCATTGACACTCCCACATCTGTCGCTGGGACAGACGCCGTTTATGCAGCTAAGGCGGCGCTTTTGAACCAGGCAATGTTGGATATGGGTATGGGATTGTATCAGTGGTTTCTGTTCATCATTACTAGTGTGGGATGGTTCCTCGATAGTGTATGTCAAGACCTATGCAATAGTGCAAGATTTGAGCTACCTTGCTAACCAATACAGTTCTGGCTGATGTCTTTCACGGTCATCGCCCCCTCCAGTGCCAATGAAGCCCAGTTCTTCTACACCGACAACAAAGAGGCCTACCTCTTCATCAGTCTGTACGTCGGCCTCACTACCGGCGCCACCGCCTGGCCCTGGATGTCCGACATGCTGGGCCGGAAGTGGATCTTCACGAGTACCCTGGTCCTGATGGGCATGGGTGGTCTCGTCGGTGCCGGAATGCCGTCTTTCACCGGTCTTTGTGTTGTTGGCTTCGTTGTCGGCTTTGCAGTGGCTGGTAACCAGGTCGTGGATGCAATGGTTCTGCTCGAATCTGTTCCCGCATCCCACCAGTTCCTTGTCGCCATGCAGGGTGCCATGTGGGGACTGGGCCAGCTGGTAGCAGCAGCTGTAGGATGGTGAGTCTACATCCCCATTACAAAATGCTCTATCACATCGTCTAACAGTCACAGGGCCTTCATCGCCGAATACACCTGCGGCACCGGCCCCGACGAGATCAGCACCGGCGCAGCCCTGTCACACCAATCCCGTGCCGACCATTCCGGCAGTAGCAGCAGCAGCAGCTCGCAATGCCACTACGTCTCCAACAAGGGCTGGCGCTACGTCTGGTGGACCTTCGGCTGCATGACACTCTTCCTATACCTGTGCCGATTCGCCTTCCCGCTGCGCGAAACCCCCAAGTATCTTCTCTCCAAGCGCCGCGACGCCGAAGCTACCCAGCTCGTCAAGGACATCGCTGCCTACAGCAACCGCAAGACCTGGCTTGAGGAGTCCTCCTTTGCTCGCATCGACTCAACCGTAGATGCCAGCGCCCCCGAGTCTCGCCGCCAGTCGCGCACCAAGTCCCTTCTGTCCTCTGCCGGCGCCATCGGCCTCCCCGTTCTCTGTCTCCTCTGGGCCATCACCGGGCTGACCTTCACCCTGCACAAGACCTACATCAGCAAGTACCTCGCCACGAAAGGCGTCGATGCGGTATCGGCTACCTCTGTGACTACTGGATACCTGTACAGCCGGTACCTGTATGTGGCGCTGTGCGCAATCCCTGGTCCGATCGTCGTGGGTCTTCTCATTGAGGCGAAGGGACTGGGTCGCAAGCGCACGGGATCTATCATCGCCGTGTTGACGGGTCTGTTCATGTTCTTGGCTACGGTGTCGCGCTCGAGGGATGCGCTGCTCGCGTTTGAGTGCATTCTGTCGTTCTTGCAGACAGCGACAATGGCGGTGCTGGTTACGTACTCGGTGGAGGTGTTTGCGGCGCCGTTCCGGGGCTTCGGACTGGGAGTCGTGGGATTCTGCTGGGGAGTCTTTGGACTGATTGCTAGTATTATCACGACATTTGAGGATGCTGTTGCCGATGGCGCAGCGGTGTGGTTCTGCGGTGCGATTTGGGTGGTTATGGGTGGTGCTTGGATGGCCGTGCCTGAGACAAAGGGTCGGGCTGCTGCTTAGATTGGTATTTATTGACGTGATGTGACATGGAATGAGTGATGAGATGTGCACTTGAGTTGATGGCAGATTAAAACGATTAATGCAAGTAATGAAAGAATCTATATACAAATATTTTGCGTCTACAACGCCCTCCTATACACCCTCCGGTAAATAATAGCCCCAACCCCAAGCACAGCAGACACTCCCAACAGCCACTTCGCAAATCCTCCTCTTTCCTTCTTCTCAACCGTGGGCTTCCGAACCATATACCAAGGCACAAAATTCCCCAGATCCTCTCCTTCTATCGCAAGCTCAAATCCATGCTTCAAATACACAGGCCTTGCCCCAGGAGCAGAAACCACGAACGTTTCGAGACCCTCTTTATCCGCGCGGCTTGTTCCCCACTCGATCATTCCCGACGCGACGCCCCGTCGTCGGTACTCGGGCTTCGTGCCGAGCATGTTGAGATCTGATCAGTTAGCCATATCCACAACCAAAACCACTTAGTCCAAGAAATGAGGAAAGATAAAAAGGTGTCCCTTACAATAAAACCTCCTCTCCCCCATAATGCCGCCAATCATAGTCCTGAACTGCTCCAATGTTTCCTTGAGAAGCTCAATATCACCGACGTGAGATGGATACGTGGCGAGGAGTTCTTGAGTTTCGGGGTCTTTACCCTCGGCAGAGTCCTTATTCTCATCGCCGTTCGCTGGATGATCTTGCTGTATGGGGGCAGGGAGCTTCCACTCCAAGAATCCGACAAGCTCGTCATCTTTCTCCGTATCAATGACCTTCAGGATGTGGTACTTCTCAAGCCCCTCAGTCAATTTTCGGGTGAAGCTGGCTACCCACCAAGCGTGGATCTCGGGGGTGTTGGGCCAGAGACGCTGGTCCACGGGTGTAGTGAAGCATTGAAGGTAGAGGGTTGCGAGCGCTTCGGCGTCGGAGGGGGTACAGGGGAGTTGTTTGAGCATTTTGAATTTCTTTTTTTATGTTCTAAGATATTGTTGCTTTGGTAAGTACTGGGAGTTGGATTTGCTGAACAGAACAGAATGACACACCGCGGGTGTGAGAAGAAAAGCCAGGAATTGCTTTGAAATTAAATAGCCGGCTAGTTAACTGTGCCAGCACGGCTTACGGAGATTACGATTCTTTTACTAACGCTAAGATAGTATCTAATCGCGCTAATTACTCGGTACAAAGATATGAATGGCTGAGGGTGAGATGAGGATTACTGCCCGGCACTTGGTTGGACTAGTGTGTAGCTAAGATGCATTAGTGGGTTCCTGTCAGGCCACCACCATTTCCTGTTAATCCGCTTGGATGACTGTACTTTAATTATCGTAGACATTAACATTATCATTAAAATTTCTGATCCATAAGTAAGATGCGGTGAACCCTTCGTGCTGGGGTCTAATGAGTCTTCTCCAACATGACAGGCTCCGGACTCCGCATTGGACTCGACATCCGCGGGTCGTGCGGGTAAGTTTGGGTCTGACTCTGAGCCGGTGCCTGTGGGTATGGGTGTGGGTACGCCTGCGGCTGTTGTCCCTGGTGGCCGTAGCCGTAGTCGTGGTGTCCCTCTCCCTGGGGATGTTGTTGTACCTGGCCTCCCTGTCTAGGTAAAAATGCCCGGCGATTCAATCCCTCTCTCGCATTCGAACGATTCTCTCCGCTCTTTGTAGCTTCAATTTCCCTCTTGACCCCCTCATACATATACTCAATGAACTGGATCTCGTCCTGGATATCTAACGAACAACCAGCCAGGCACAGCTCGCGCTCGCGCTGCTCGATATATTCCCGTATATTCCGCCACTCGTTCTGATAGTGTTTCAAGCGATCTGGTAGCCCCGAGCCCTTCAGGTAGGTCAGCACGCCGGCCATGATGGTGTTGATGGCGCCAAAGGCCGTCACGGCGGAGTGGGGACCACTGGCGGCGCCGAGAGCCGTTAGGGCAGCGGCCACAACGATCTGAATACCGAGGCAGACGTTGATGAGGATGCTGAAGAAGCGGTAGCGCGTGGCAGCGGACTTTTCGGCCTCGACGACACGCGTGTAGATGCCGATGTTGGGGGCCGTGCGACTGAAGTGGTGCAGGGTGTTGAGGGCGGGGATGCTGTCGATGCCGGTGAGGGCGCGGAAGACGAGGAGCTTGTCTTGGGGTGGGATGAGGGAGCTGGCTTGTGTCGTGGAGATGGTGAGAGGGGGTTTGTTTGCGGGCATGTGTGCTGTTGGCATGGGGCCGTGTGTTGGGATGTTGGTTGGAGGAGCCGGCATGGGCTGGGCAGTGCTCGCGCTGCCGTTAGGGAGAGGGATGTCATAGGGTTGGTTGGTGTGATGAGAATGTCCTTGTGGGATAGGAGGAAGGCCTTGCTCTTCGCGATCGAAGGCGGCGTGGAGGAGCCGTCGAGCGAAGTTGGGTCGGCGATTAGGAACGGCCATGGTGAGTTGAGGAAGAGGAGAGGGTGAAAAGATTAGCGGATTGTGTGCGATTGAGTTGCTCGTGAAGAGGGTCCAACCCCTTTATTTGTAGCGGGGTGGTGCTTGATCCAAGCTCCTTTTCGTCATTTCCGGCATGGTGTTGAAGGGTTTGATAGGTTGCTCAGCACACTTTGATGGGCGCCACAATTTCTGCTAAGGACGGATATGCCGTGCGCTGAGCGGAAGAATAGCAGAAAGAAGCTAACAACACCCTGCATTGGTCCATTATTGGGGTGTCAGACCGTCGAGGGTTCAGCGGGCAAAACTCTGAAGATAGAGAGCTGGCGGGCTGGACCCTCGACCCACAGCGATCGACACAGTTCGGCACGAGTCATGGGACGTGCACCTTGGCCAGCAGTGAGATGAGAGAGGTGGAAGTTGGAACCGATTGGCTTGTCGGCAGTGGGCCATTCATGGTGGACATGCAGTGGACAGCTTTGGGGGCAGCTGAACGGGCCTGGCGTTCCTGAGCACTGAATGTCAGTGGATAGCCAGTGGATGTGTTGGAACGAACTAGCCGAGGGATCGCAATGTGATTCGCCGTGCCATTGTTCCGATTGTGATGTGACATGCAACACGGGTCCGGCTGATGGAGATTGTCAAAGCAAACAAACCATCCTGCAGGGAAAACAAGCTCTAAATTGCCCGTCCACCCGTTCGCGACGGGTTCACCCGCTGTGTGACTGTGTTGGTTGTCGGAGAAAAAGTTTGGCGCCCGATGAACCCGTGTTCTGCATCCCGTCTGGCATCTCCACAGCTTAACGGACTGACTGGTCGCAAAAACAGGTCACTGGGATGGCGGGCTGAGGCGATGCCGGCGGCTGCCCGAACCATGGATGTGAGGCTGTCAGATGCAACACAAACTTGGGACTGCAGCTATCCAGCGCGACGTCTGCAAGCGAACCGCCGATCGGCCATGGCTTTACGGGCCGAGGCGAATTTCCTTTGTGAGTCTTGGAGTGAGAGTAAGACGGACTGCCATGAAGCAACATCAGTTATGCGTATTATGTATAGACATCTGTTATGTATCTCATCAGCTTCACACTGGTCGGGCTGTAGACAAGAAAAGAATGATGATAAGATGTTTTTCCTATCTCTGTTATCTCTCTTTCTTTGGGTCCATTTTTTAATCTCCGACTTCTCCTCCCCGCGCTTATTAATCCATCTGCAACCGGACATTCGGCGCATAAATGAAAGAAGCGCAAAAGATCCCCTCAATGGCGCCATTGCTTCCATTGATATCCTCAATATAATCCCCAATTCCACTTCACTGTCCTTCCAAAACAATACACGTATTGTATTCTCAATATGGGCGAAGCACCCCCCGTCAAAGAGCACCTAGTCATCGCCTACGCCCGCGATCTTCCGCAATGGCTGATCGACGAGACGCAAGCCAAATTCCCCGACGCCGAACTTTCCATCCTGCAGCTACCCAATTTCGCGCCAATTCCTGCTGGTCGGTGCTTGCATCTCAATCCCTGTCCAATTTGAATCTATCATCACTAACCAGCTGAACGCACCAGAAATCGCACGCAAAATCACTCTGCTCGTCACCTTTAGCAATCTCCCCGCCCCGGAAGATGCATCCAAGTAATACCCCCTGTCACCCCAAAATTCAGACCCGGGAATAGAACAGAATTAATATAATTCAATTTAAAACAGAATCAAACTCATCCACTCCCTCTCCTCCGGACTCGATCACCTCCTCTCCCATCCCATTGTCAAAGAGACCTCCATCCCGCTCACCTCCAGCTCGGGCATCCACGGCCCCCCAATCGCCGAATGGACCATCATGAACTGGCTCGTCGCCTCGCGACGCTTCGTCTACACCCATGAGAACCAACAGAAACATATTTGGGCCAAGAATGTCGACTTCATGAACACCGTCCATGACCAAGTTGGTAGGAAAATTGGAATTCTTGGATACGGAAGTATCGGACGACAAAGTACATTCGCACCCCCTCCCTCTGCACATTTTCAGGAAAAGTACTAACAATGGGAAAAGTCGGCCGCGTCGCCTCGGCCCTCGGAATGCAAGTCCACGCCTACACAGCCTCGCCGCGCCCGACTCCTGCCTCTCGAAAAGACAACGGCTACATCGTCCCCGGCACGGGCGACCGCGACGGCACGATCCCTGTATCCTGGCACCATGGGACAGACAAGGCCTCAATCCACGAATTTCTGTCTCTGGGGCTCGACCACCTCGTAATTGCGCTGCCGCTGACTCCACAGACCACCCGCATGCTTGGAGCTGAGGAATTTGAGATCCTCAGTAATGGTGTGTCTGCGGGTCGACCGCGTCCGTATCTTACGAATATCTCTCGCGGCAAGGTGCTCGATCAGGATGCGTTGATTAAGGCGCTGAAGGAGGGAGTGTTGGGTGGAGCGGCGCTGGATGTGGCGGACCCGGAACCCTTGCCCGAGGATAGTCCGCTGTGGGACACGCCAAATGTGCAGATCAGTCCACATGTTAGCTCCGCAGGGAGGGAATATATTCCGCGTTCGTTGGATATTATGAGGGAGAATGTGGGGAGATTGGAGAGAGGGGAGGAGTTGTTGAACGGATTTAAGAGGGGGAGAGGGTACTAACCCTCATTATTGGTTGAATGAATTCATGTATATGACTTTTGGTATTATCAATTCATGACTAGTTCATACATATACTAACTGACTGAAAGAATTAAATTATTGAGTAAGCCAGCCCCGAATACCCTCTTCTGCGACCACGCCCAGCACGCCCGCTCCAAGAACCACCCACGTCCAGGGGTTCACTACCTCGGTGAGACCGGGCCAGAAACTGTTCTTCTCGCGGCGCCAACTCTGCAGCTGCTCGTATTTGTGCAGGTCCTCAGTGCGGTACCGTGTCTCCTGGCTGGCTTCGGTCTGGCGGTCGCCGCCGACGAAGCGGAGGAAGAAGTAGTTGGTCAGGGGACCGAGTAGGACGATCGGGTTGAAGTTGTTGGCGATGTTGAGAACGGCGAAGGAGATGTGGACGAGGGTATCGCCGAGGTAGCTGGTTTCATTAGCTTGGGTTCTCTAAGCAGCACTAAAGGGGGGATAGGAAGGGATAGCTTACTTGGGGTGTCTGACGATACTCCACACGCCGTGCTTGCACAGATCGGTCCGTTCCTGACGGTGCATCTCGAGCTGCGCATCGGCCATAACCTCCATGGCGAATCCAGCGCCGAAGAGTGCGACACCGATTGCCCGGACGACAGACTGGACATCGCTGTCCAGCGACAACGTCGAGGAAGTCAACCGGAATGGCACGGTGAAGGGCAGGGCAATCAGGGTGAGGAAAGCCGCCTCAGGGAGATACTGCTTGAGCAGAGCCGAGGTCCAGAACCCATTGGGGTCTTCCTTCTTCAGCTGGTCATAGCGCGGGTCATCCTTGCCGCGGGTGATAGTCCGAGAAGCGATGCGAGTAAAAAGCCGAGTACCCCAAACCGTAACACAAGTCAAGAGCACCTTTTCCGTCCAAGAGAGAGTCGAC